GCCCAGCCGTCTGCAGGGGAGGGTGGCACCGCACTGAGGGGCAGCAGGCGCCGCCGTCCCGCCGCGGGACAAGCACAGCCCTTCTCCGGGCCTTGGGAAGCGGCAAACGCGGACGCTCTGGTTGGTGGCGCCCTCCAGATAGCCGGGACTGTCACACTGCTCCATTCCATCTGTTCAGCTCCGCGAGCCTGTGACTTGCCCTTGGGTTTGTCCCCCTTTTCCCAGGCAGACCTTTGAAAATTTAATGGGACGGTCTTCCAGCTTTTAGGGACAATGGTCAGAAGTGGAGGTGTGAGGAAGAGGAATGCCCAGGACTTCACCGACCCTTTCTTAGGCCACAGAAGAGTCCACCCCAGGAACGTCAGTGCCACCCTCGGACTAATTCTTGGCTTCTGAAACTGAAGCTGAAGGGGAGGCTGAGGGGAAACCTTATCACCCTCTACAACTCCCTGAAAGGAGGGTGCAGAGAGCTGGGTTGGAGCCTCTTTAGCCTAGTAGAAAGCAACAGGACAAGAGGGAATGGCCTCAAGTTGCGCTACAGAAAGTTCAGACTGGCTACTAGGAAGCATTTCTTTGCAGAAGGGGCTGTTGGGCGTTGGAATGGGCTGCCCAGGGAGGTGGTGGAGTCCCCATCCCTGGAGGGGTTCAAGAGTAAGGTCGATTTAGAGCTTAAGGATATGCTGTAGGTGGGAACTGTGCTAGGCAAACATCTGGAGTAGATGATCTCCAAGGTCCTTTCCAACCTAGATGATTCTGTAAAGTAAATAAATATGGCCAAGTGCTTCACAGGGTAGGAACTTCTCCTTGAAAAATGTGAAATTAAGAAACACTAAGAAAGTAACGCAGAAAGTGGCAAGTATTGCTATTCAACTTATTTTTTAATACAAAACACTAGGAATCAGCACTTACAAATCCCTATAGTGTTTCACAGTCAAAAAAATATTTAAGAGTTAAACATTTTTTTCACTACAAGAGTTTTTAAATTACTTTTTTCAACACAATAGCTCAGGTACTTCTGCAGGTCCATCATCAGGGTTAACTGACTAACAGGATTGCAGGCAGGACCACTCAGGGTGTAACTGAAGCAGCAGCTTAGACTGCTATTTTATAATCACTGGTGAGGTGTGCAAGAAGAACTCAGATTAGTTTCTGACACTGACAACTAGAAACATAACAGTATTTCAGAACAAAAACTACTGACCCCCTAATAATGGTGAGATGATTTTTTTTCCAAGCTGGAATCACACACCCAAATGCGTGCAGCCACGACAGATTTACAATAAAATCAAAAAGTACAAGTGCAAGCCAAGAAGATACCCAAACTATATTTAACCAGAAATTGGCACATTGAAGATACTAGTTGCAAAGACTAGTATAGAAGAAATCCTGAGTATTTACTCAGAGAGCTAAGTCTTGTACAGCCATCTCATTACTAGATACTGCTAAATTAAAGCCAGCTTTGTTCTGCCTACATTATGGTTGCTTTTACACTGCCTTTTTGCCTCCTGATTGCCAAAGATATGCCTAATGGCAAACAGCAGTAGTCCCCTTCCTAGAAAATCTGGAAAGCTTGAGGTTTTAAAAAAAAAAAAAAATCACTCCTATACAAACATTTTGTGTTTTTGAAGAGATTATATTTCCACTTAGATTTGAAATGGGCAGAGTGTGGATTTCCATGGAAAAGTGGTGCTTTAATGATCCAGTCTGCCACATCAGCACTGGGACTCTCAGAGGACAAGTAGTTCAGCTTGGTATTACGGACAGCATGTGTATTATGAGTCCTTCAAGAGGGGCAGAGCAAACTATGCTTTTGATTTCCTGGGTTACAGGGCTGCATTTCACTTTTGGATGTTACTCAAATTGTTGACTGAACAGGTCAGGCTGTCTCTGGGTAAACCCTTCCATCTTTTGTGCAAAACAAATTTGAAATCGGGTAAACTGCTCTAGTCTTTTTCAGTCCCTACTACTACAGGCTTGGTTTACTGAGGCATCAAACTAAAGAGAGGTAGTTCTTTATGTGTGTGCAAATACAATAGTAACAAAAATTCTCAAATAATTTTATAGAATGTTTAGCCACAGAAGACATTCAGCGCTGCAATGTTCAACCTGCTCTATGTCCTTAACAATAAGAACCATCTCTATTATCAAAAAAGCAAACAGTATTATATTCTACTTGCTTGGAATATTTGTTTTTTACCTCTGTTTACTGTTTCAGAAAGCTGATGCTGGCTGCCAGTTGAAGTATTTTGTGACAGTTTTATCCTGTGGATAACTTAAATTTCATATCGCTGTCTGACAAACAAATAGTATCCTTAAGTCATGGCTACTCCTAACCAGTAAGGACTGGATTTGAGGCAGCAACCTATACATGTTATCCTACAGCCAATCTCCTAAATGAATTAGTTGCCTGTGGGGTCAGGATGCCTCGTGCAATGAGAAGTCAGCTTTCTGATTCTTCTTTGTTTTATGGATACTGAAGTGGTTTCACGATTTTAAAAAGAACTAACTCCACAGATCCTTCTGATTTGTTCATATGTGAGCCAGAATACCAGTGACCAAGGAGCCTGTGAAAGCAAACACTGAAGTTAGAGGCTTAAAACAGAAGTGACCCAATAAATAAACCCATTAAACGAAATGTCTCCTCTTAAAAATCATATTCTTAAACTCAATCTCATATTATGTCTTTCATACAAAAATCATAGGGTTGCATATTTGGCCTGGACGATCTTCAAGGTCTTTTCCAACCTAGATGATTCTGTGACATGGTTATGGCTGCCCAGTCCTTCACAAGACACCGAAACCTTTTTTTTTTTAGCTTGTCAACCCATAAATGTTTGACCTGAAAAGTTTCATACTTGGGGGCTACTTCAGGCTGAATGCTTTAAAAATTTTTTTTAAAGCGTTTACTTGTTATAAAAACTTAATCAGAAAATTACATGGTTCTGCTTGCATAAAAATGATATCCTCAACTTCTTTAGTTAAGATAGGTTGGGGTTTTTTGTTTGTTTTTTGTTAGAGCAATAAATTGCTGTTTGTAAAAAGGCTTCCTTGTGTCTAGGAAATACCTTTTCCTGCTCCTCAGAAACACCTGTTAAACATTCCCCAAATTACAATCCTTTGGGAGAGCTACGTTGGCACACACTCCATGGAAACTGTGAGTAATAAACTCACAAAGACCCCATCGATACTGAATGTGCTCTGGCTCAGGGGACTAAGCAGAACCTTCCTGTACTTGCTCTTACCAGAGGCTCCTGGCCACTGTTGTGCCCAGTTAAACTAGAGACGGGAGGCTTTTGCCTTTGATCATAGTGCTCAATCTGGTAATTTAAACAGTGTTAAGAACTTGAAGCCAGGTGGCAGAGTCTAGACATAGTCATACTGTTAAATTCTTATAGACTTAAAAAAAAAAAAAAAAAGTGGCCACATCCAAATTTGCTGTTGGGAATTGTCCCTTGCCCAAACTAAAAGCTGAGTTCTAGTTCCCAGGCTCCAACTACCGCTTCACAGATGTGGCTTTAGCAGTCCACCTGCGTGCAGGAGGAAGCTGCCAGCCTGAACGCAAGAGGGGCAAAGGTGAGACTCACGATGGAGGAGTATTAAAGCAATTTTGGGATCGAGAGAGAAGGAGAAAAGAAAGTATGAGGAATGCAAAGAGAGTCCAGGTCTGGGTATAAGGAGGGAACAATGAAGAGTTTGGGGAAGGGATAATGGAGGGACCCTGAAATTACTAAAAAAGCAAGGAAAATCACTAGCAATTAAGCAGGACAGCATTTTCCAATGCACACTGCATGCACTTGTGCCATCCACTACATTCAGTTATGCTAACTGCAGTTAAATAAATTGAGACACACAAATAGTTTTGGAAAAGTGTTGACACAGAAAGAACTCTTTACATTTTAATGACACATTGTTCAACTGTCTTGTAAAGAGAGTTAAAAGGCACTTACCATTCTCATCCAGGTTGGGATAAAGCCTTTGTACAGGGACATAAACCCTTCACCCTGTATAGTTTGAATCAAGCAGTCCGTGGACGATTTATACAGCAGACCTCTGTGCAAGGAGAGCAAATAGTGTTAGGATTACAAATACGCAATTTTAAAAAATCCCACCCTCCCCCTCAAAAATAATCTGTATCTGATAAATTTGTAGAAGCAAGAGCTGTTTTGTAAACTCACTGGAGTCTAATCAGAACTGAAATCCACTGAAGTAACTGGGAATGCTTAGGTGGCCATCGCAACAACGGCCCCTGGACATTTACTAAATCAGTAAAATGATCATCAGGAAGGTGAAGAGCAAATTAGAAACTTCGCACTTCACTCCCAGTGAAATCAGTGAGACTTGGGGTTTCAATTTTTGACTGGAAGTTGGTCTCCGAAGTGTCCATACCTTCCCTGCTTATCTCTTGGCTGGTTCATTATCCGGGTTTTGACCACGTCAGCAGGAGTTCCCAGAACAGCAGCTACCAGGCCAGAACAGCAACTGTCAACAGCAACAGATACTTAAAGGAGAAACTAAGATTTATCCTGACAATTTAAGCCTCATGATTCCAATTCTAATATATATTATAATAAAACAGTTATCATAAAATCATAAGTAATACCTCGTAACTTAACATAAACTTGATTTGGGAGGAGTTTTGCTAGTATTGCTCTTGCTCAGATGCCCTCCCAGCACCATCTTCCCTAACCTCTGTGTGCAATTCTGAGGCAGGGATAAAGGACCCACAGTAAGCAGTGTATCATATTGTTTATATAAAGCAGATTTCTTCATAATTTAAGGGAGTAAAAGAGGTTGTTCTGTAGAGTTTATATTGCTGATTCTTACTGTTTGCTAAAATTAAAACTAGGTTAGATAAAATAGTAGCAGTTCTAGAAAAGTGAAAATTCACACATGTGCGAGGGGTTTAAATGCATCAGCAAGGCACTTCTGGTGAGGACAGTTTTGTAGCAACGGTTGCATCCTTTGTCTTGTGTCTTTTATGCAAAGATGTCCTCTCAGGCAAAAAATAAAAGGAGTTATAAAGGTGCATTTTCAGGACCAAAGAATAGAGGTTTCTGCTCGCACAGAGAGGCAGATCAAGACAGCGAGGCTGGAAGAAAAGGGGGATTACAGCACCTGGCAATACTGTGAGTCACGCTATTGTCCACAAGCGGCGTGTTCAGAAGCAGAAAGTGTTTCACCGAGTCGTAAGTGGTCAGATCTGTAAAGAGGATAATGAGAAAAACCAGCATTGTCACAAGTAAATGGTGCCGGTGCTGTTCATTACTGACATAGGATGGAGGCTTGGCAAGACCTAAATTTCCAGTGCAGCTTCTCCTGTTGGCACAGCTAGCACTCTGCCCCCAGTTTCTGATGATGGTTGTGACACCTATGTCCTGTCATTAGACATGTGAGTATGTGCTCCCTTCTATTACCGTCTTCTCTGATTTACCTACAAATGATAGGGGATCCCAAATGGAAAATTCTACAAAATAACTCATTAACCAACCCCCCAAAATGTCACAATTAGGACAGCTTTACCTCTCCCACCTCTCTGCAAGTGTTATAAAAATGTTAGAACCACTAGACAAAAAAACCCAAACAGATGATGTCATGGAAGTTATATCATGTTCTTCTGAAAGAAGACATGAGTTACAGTGTCTGGGCATCTGAATGACAGACAACAATCTGAAAGTTAACAGCAGATCTGGTTACATTTCCAACGCCCTGACCTTAAAATTTAGGAGCCCAGTTTACGAACCAGGATGACCCTCTTAGCACTCTGTAGTGCTTTATAGCCCAGACATACCCAGGGGAGATAATTTCCCACTTGTAAAAGAGTTTGCTTGTTTAAGTTTACATGCTGAGACTGCACATTAACGTTGTGTATGGAGATACATGCTTTAGTTAAAAGTTATCCTGTAGCCCTCATTTAACAGCTTCTGCTGCCAACATCCATCCAGTGATTCCTTTACTGATGCTTAGCAAAGTGTAAGCTTACACTACCTCTGGTTTTCTATCTTCGAGGATATTTTTTGGTCGTGCTGCTAACATATCCCTGTGCTGAATGATGTAGAAATTAGCAGCTGTCATGCCAAGTAAGTGTAAGCATGCAAAATAAAAAACCTGCCAAGACGATGCTATAATATGTGCCACCAAGCACAGAGCAAGTGTTTATGGTGGGCACCAAGAGACAGTGTCTTTCAGTCCCAAAGACATCTCCCTCCTTTATAAACAGAACCTCAGGAGGGAGAGCAAAGACTATCCAACATGTCCTAGCAGTTTTGGAGAGACACGGGAAATCTCCGTCTATATGTGGAAGGAGTGAGTGCTTCTTGGATTAGCAAAGCACTCAGATGCCCGCTTCACCTTATACCCCTCATATAGTCCCTGCCTGAACCACACTATAGGTGTACCTGTCTGCTGCTCCATCACACCATGCCTGGGCTGTGGACCTTGTTGATCTGGACACTGACCCATGGACCATCTCCCCAGCTCGACCTTGGATCTTTCTTATTACAACAGACTTTATTGGATGAGGGAAAGGCTGTGGATGTTGTCTACCTTGACTTTAGTAAGGCTTTTGTCACCGTTTCCCACAGCATTCTCCTGGAGAAACTGGCTGCTCGTGGCTTGGATGGGCCACGCTTTGCTGGGTAAAAAACTGTCTGGATGGTCAGGCCCAAGGAGCTGTGGTGAATGGAGTTAAATCCAGTTGGGGGCCGGTCACAAATGGTGTCCCCCAGGGCTCGGTTTTGGGGCAACTCCTGTTTAACATCATTATTGATGATCTAGACGAGGGGATCGAGGGCACCCTCAGTCAGTTTGCAGATGACACCCAGCTGGATGGGAGTGTTGGTCTGCTCGAGGGCAGGGAGGCTCTGCAGAGAGACCTGGCCAGGCTGGAGCCATGGGCTGAGCCCAACTGGGGGAGTTTCCCTGAGGCCAAATGCCGGGGGCTGCCCTTGGGCCACAACAACCCCCAGCAGCGCTACAGGCTGGGGGAGGAGTGGCTGGAGAGCTGCCAGTCAGAGAGGGACCTGGGGGGTGATTGACAGCCGGCTGAACAGGAGCCAGCAGTGTGCCCAGGGGGCCAAGAAGGCCAATGGCATCCTGGCTTGTGTCAGCACTAGCGTGGCCAGCAGGGACAGGGAAGGGATCTTGCCCCTCTACTCAGCACTGGTGAGGCCACCCCTTGATTCCTGTGTTCAGTTTTGGGCCCCTCACCCCAAAAAGGCCATTGAATGACTCAAGCGTGTCCAGAGAAGGGCAACGGAGCTGGTGCAGGGTCTGGAGCACAGGTCTGCTGGGGAGCGGCTGAGGGAACTGGGGGTTTAGTCTGGAGAAGAGGAGGCTGAGGGGAGACCTCATCGCCCTCTACAGCTCCCTGACAGGAGGGTGCAGAGAAGGGGGATGAGTCTCTTGAGCCAAGTAACAAGTGACAGGACAAGAGGGAATGGCCTCAAGTTGCACCAGGGCAGAGTTAGACTGGATATTAGGAAGCATTTCTTTCCAGAAGGGGTTGTTGGGCGTTGGAATGGGCTGCCCAGGGCAGTGGTGGAGTCCCCATCCCTGGAGGGGTTGAAGAGTCGGGTTGACCCAGAGCTGAGGGATCTGGTGGAGTTGAGAACAGTCAGTGTGAGGTCAGTGGTTGGACTGGATGATCTTCAAGGTCTTTTCCTACCTTGATGATTCTGTGACCTGCTGGTGATCACTGAGCTCTGTCTGACCCTGGTGCCTCTCACCAGAACTGATGCTGGCTCAGCTTCCTGGCTTGGCTTCAGGCCTGCCTTGTCACCACACGCTTTCCTGAGGATCTGGGTCTGGCTGTAACCTGGCTACCTTTGCTGGCTCTGCCCTGCTCACCTTGCTTGGGCACCAGGGAGCTGGGTCGTGGCTGGCGAGGTCCTTGCTCAGCTGGCTGTGGGACCCCCTCAGCAACCAGCTCACCACTGTTATTTTAAAGCACCTTGATTTCCACAAGAACAAAACGCTCAAGGTAGAAGTCACTTGCAGTGCGCTTTAAACAGGTCCCCAGTGTAGATAACCAAGAGATGAAGACAGGGGGAGCAGCCCTAAGTGCTGCAGACCAAGTTAGGAATTTACCTCCCATGTTCACCAGGGCAGCTCTCTGGACATTTGGCACCCATCCAGCCCAAAGCCCCCGTATTCCTCCTTCAGACAGGATCTTCATAAATGCATGGTGTACTCCTCGAAACCTGAAATCAATATGCAACTAATAAGTAGAGAGCCCAGCCATGGAGAAATCTTTGCATATTCCAGCACTTCGCTGCGCCAGGTCCTCACATGGGAAAGGAGATTTATACCTATAAGGATCTTGCCCTCTGGATCGATTTTTTGGATCCATTTTTGGATTCATCTTTGACTTTCATGCAGTGGTATTTTACCAAACATACTGGTTGCCCTGGTAAGCAGCAATCTGGTTGCTAGTGACAGACAACCCTTGGATCCCCCAGTTGGGTTGCAATGCTAAATGCATGAGACACCAAAGGATGCCAGCAGTTTCAGATGCAAAGAGCAGTGTGTCCTGGTATCTGCAGGAGGGTCTTAAACCCTGCTGTCTGCAGGTGACCCAGCCCTTCCCTGTGCCTGTGCATCAAGCCATTTCCCCCATCCTTCTTCCAGCTTCCCTTCTTCAGAAAGCATCCTTTCCTCCCCCCGGCAGAGTGCTGGCATGGACATACTGCACATGGAGGATAGGCCAGAGGGTTTGTGATCTCTGGGACCAACACATCAGAATAAGGAAGGTGAATATAAATGGAATAAGGAGAAAGTCTTGGATCCCCCACCCTCTGTGCTGCCCAGAACCACCGCGTGCCTCCCAGGCACTGCTCTTCCCCCAGAAGGGCTCAGAACCACTGGGGAGAGGGAGTGGCAGAAAACAGAGGCAACCACACCCTTGGTCAAAGAGTACTCCTTAACAGGAAAAAACTGCCAGCTGTGAGAGGAACTGACCGTAAGGGCTTTCCTTCCAACTTCCTTCTTCCTTCCATCTGCATCTGCACCTTCACCAGATCAGTGGGGCTGGCAAAAAACTGCCCAATGGCACCTGCAGACATGCCTCCAACTACAGCTTTCCTGCCAAACAGGGAGAAAAAAATGTGCTCCAGAATACACTGAAAATCTTCACAAATTGCAGTGCTTGAGCTGAAGAGTTCAGCGACACAACCCAGGTGAACCAATGTAAATGGTTATTACTTATACTAACAGCCAAAGTTAAGGTAGTAATTGTGGTGATTGCAGGTAGTTAAGGTAGTCAGTAATATCCTGTTAATTTTAAGAAAGGGTTAAAACTTATCTGGGAAAAAAAATCAAGTCATTATATGTCACCAAGATGCTCTGCTTCCTCTCCAGGTTGCATTATGCTCACTGCTTAAGTTTTAAAGGCAGGATGGCAAGGTACACAAGTAAGGGATGGCACTCCATGTATTATAATAACTGAATGCCTATCTGAAATTCTAAACTGCTTGCTGTTATAGAAAACTTTCCTTTATCTCCATTGCTACTAGACGAGTTATATTAATTTTCTAGTTCTGCTTATATTACTTGAAACAGAAATTTCAGTATTATCTACAGTTTCCCCTTCCTGTAGCACCAGGCATGACAAGTATTTTGTATTAGATTTTATAATTCCCATCCTAAAACCAGTCACATTTTGGACCCAAGATTTGCTTTTGGAATAAAATACTTGACTGGATATGGTAAAGTGTATGAGTGACATTTTAACAATAAGGATTTCACAATTAGAAATTACCAGTTTTTGCAAAACTTCTGTAAAAATCTGCTCATTCCCCACAGGGAAAGAGTTAATTCTGCAGCGGTATGCCACTTGCATTGTGAAAAAAAGGGATGGAGTAAGATTTAACTGTTGCTGGATTAAACTTGCAAAACAAAGACTTTGGTTTTGCTATTAACAGGGATCATTTGTCTCCTTGGGAAGGATGCACAGATTTACCTTAGGCTGACATCTGTCATACACACATGAACAAAATAACTTTTTTTCCTTCACGACCTGCCTCTTCAGTAGCTGGGATCTTTCCGTCTCTCAGGCTAAGATACAACACCAGAATCAGCAAAACTTCCTATTCCCCTTGTTTATAACCCAACGGCATAGTAATTTCTTACCCAGGCAGTATGACAAGCAGCAAAACAGCAAAGTGTTGCCATACTGCTGCTGCCCAGTGCCTCACGGGACCCATCCCTTCAGCAGCTGGAACTCTGAGATGTACCACCCCTCACTTCTTTTCTGCTAAGCTCCAGAGGATAATCGAGATGTCCATCATACCTTTGGAAATGTATCCTCCCGCCCTGTGGAGCAAATCAGGCTCTCGGTTGACCTCAGAGCTGAGCAGGGCACAAGCTTGGCTCAGCTGAACCTCTGGTTTGCATTACCCAGGCAACTAACTGTAGGATTAGTCATGGCTACTCACCCTGGTGTCAGGTTTGTGCGGTTGCTCACAGCTTCTCCAACAGCTGTCACACACAACTGCACGGTCAGCCACGACTGACCCGCACATCCCAACATCCCCTGGCTCATGCGGAAATAAAAGACCTGGCCACTACATCACAGACCTTGAGTCATGGTAAAGCTTCCCTGCCTCCACCCTCATCCAGGCTAATTCCTGCCCGCTCAGGACAGCTGCTCCTATCAATGTGGTTTATGACGTTTCTCCATCTCTTTAGTAGAGGATCCTTATTAAAGAAATCATGGTCTTAGTTAAGACTCTGACAAGCTTATTTCAATATTTCTTAGTCCTGTTTCCAGCTGAATGAAAAGATACTGCCCTGAAACTAAAACCAGAAAGTCCATATCAGTGCTTAAACTCCTATTTTATAGTTACCTCTTTAGGGTAGGCAAGCCATGAGGAAAAGACATCTTTTAGGGCTGTACGACCCCTACAGTAAGGACAATCCCAAACAGGCAAAAGCATAAATATGCAACATTACCAGAAAGGAAAGCTTTCATCCTCAGACCTGCCAAGCACGGAGTCACGGAGATGTTCATATGCAACCATCCGAACTCCAGAGTACACTGGAAAACAAAATTGGGAAACAAATCCTGGGCGTGCCATTTCTGGAGGTCATGCTGTGATAGAGAGGTGGAGATTGGTTGTAAAACACTCTGGAGCTTGCCTGGGTGAGCTGGTCACTGCCCTCCTGTTCATGATCAAAATGGGGAATGTGAGGGGTCTCGCCTGGTAGCAGTGCTAGAGCCAGAATTTTTTAGCATCGGAGAATGGCTCTGGCTGAGCCGTACGTTTGCCAGGAGGCAGCACAGCCTACGCCCATAAGCTGAGGAGATGCAACTGCATTGCTTCACTCACAGCTGGTGCCAAGCACAAAACCTCCCACAAGTGCTTTTGAGGTTTATTGCTGTCACCGTACTTCCAAATAAAACAGAAAGCTGTTACCTGTGGCCAAACCACTAATGCATTTCTTCATCCTAGCACTTGCAACCTTATCTTTTTTTCCCAGCTCGTCCCCACTTCCCTCAAGTAAAAGATATTTATTGTTCTGAGAACTCTTGAGTGACTGCTTGCACTGAAGACCTTCCTGCAAAGATGACAGGGAAATATTTTGTTTTCCCAGAAGCCAGAATAAGGCTGTGCAGAAATAACAGGCAAGAGTGGGAAGAGATGATACTGAGCCAGAATCCCATCTATTTCGAAGTGGGATTGCTGTGTAGACTGAAGGAGTCCTCACAGACTTATTTAAAGAAGATAGATCAAGCTCACTCCTCAAGGCTGTTGGCCACAGACTGCAGGACCCAAACTTGTCCCATAACGAGCAGATAATCACCTATATGGCGGTAGACAGCCGGCGTGGCTCCTTGCCAGAGCTTTCGTAAGCCCTCCTCTTGCACAATGCCAGCCGCCGTGCGCAGCATGCCGCGGTAAGGGACTGCCTGGCCAGCGGCAGCTCCGTGGCGATGAACGGCAGCTTCACCCTGGACCTGCAGCCGAGTTTTTGTGAGATCCAGGGGAAATGTCACTGAAGAGAAAGAGCAGGGAACAAACGTGAATATGAGTGCAGCTGCAGGGAGAACTACCATGCTAGTAACATCTGGGCCACAATCCACCCTGCCAGGTGGCCAAGGGGTCTGTGCAAGTACCAGCAGGCAGCAGGGTCAGGACCCAACAGGGGTGCAGGTGATTTGTGGAGAACAGGAGATTCATGTCCAGATCTCTTAAAGTGTCTCTGGGCATGAGTAACCAAAATACATTCCTGTCAAACACCAAGTCTTTCTCCCTTATTTCTTTTTACAGATTTGTTACGCAATGTGTGTACCTTCCAAGACACTCTGGATTAAAAATCCTCTTCCAGTTACAAGCCCCTGAATAAGGATCAATCAAATCTCTTACCATCGAGTGTGTGGCCTCTCCAATTCTGCCCAGCATAGTGGCAGGAACAACCCCACAGTGGCCATCATAATGCAGACACACATGCAGGCGAGCACCTATCCTACAAACTGCCCTAAAAACATGCTGCTTTGCTGATGCAGACACAAGAATCATGATTAGCTGTTATTTCTCTCACTGAAATAATTGGTGGCCAGGGAAAGGGGTCCAACTCGATCTCAGCTTGCCAGATTCCCAGCTTCTCCTGAAACAGTATGGGAACATATTTGCTGCCCCTAATTTCAGTTTCAGGCCACTGGGTGATGGACCTTCCCAGCCTGTCTCAGGCTGCCCAGGAGCATGGGTTGTCTTTGGTTTGGTACCTCTGTAACACACAGTGTTACAGGGTCCTGCTGGAGCAGGACTCAGAGGTACTGGGGCAATGCAGTCACTGCTCAAAGCCTCGACAGATTTACAGTCTACTTGTGCATTAAATTTGGTATTTTCGTTTAAAGATTAGAAAAAAATTGAGAAGTTACAAATCATGAGAGCAAAGGTTTGCCTGCGAGAACTTATAGAAATTACATGGAATATGCTGAGAAGTATTCAAAGTAAATTACTGATCACAAAGTAGTGCTAAGCAGATGCCAGGGTGTTTCTTTCTCACATTTCAGCAAGCAGTTTACTATAGTCAGTTTTTACAGACATGTCCACTGTAACCAGAAACATAAGATTCAATTTTTCTTTGATTAACCTGCCTTAACTATGAAAAGCAAATACCTGAAGAAGTCAGCCCCTTGCTACTAACTTAGGCAACAGATCGTCCTGCTTCAGACTTCATCCAGAAACCCAGCACAAAGCTTAAATTAGTCACAACTGCTCTGTGTTAATGTCTGCAGCCCTTCGGTCTCAGAGGCAACGATTTTGACCTAAAAAAAATCCCTCCAGCCACAGTCAGGTGGCGTAAAACACTCGCAAGCCTTAAACTGTCGAAGTCACGACAGGCGGAGTGGAACGAACAGATTTGCTGGAGCGGAAAAGCCGGAGCGAACAACCGAGGAATGAGGCTCCTGGGGACTGAAGTCCCCCCTGCCCCCCATAAGTAAATTTTGACCCCCTTCCCTCTCAGAAAATCACGGTGAGTTGTACCTAGTTCTGCCACAGCCGCTGCACAGGCTGACAGAGCGAATTTGCTGGCCCGGGGCCATCTCTCTGGAAGAGGTAAGCTCTTCTCTTCTTCTGCAGGTGACATCTAGCGTCTAACATGGACCAAGGCAGACCAGCCAGCCTGCGAGGGTCTGGAGCAGAAGCAGAGCCTAGCTCAGCTCTGTTCTGGGTCGTTTAGGAGATAAATTGCTGAAGGTCATGTTTCTCCAGCGCCAGCACCAGGAACCGAAACAGCCCGAGTGCCTCCTGCAGAGCTGCAGGGTCCTTGTGCAGTGACACGGGAGGCTCCTGCACAACGGTCTCCTGGGAAATGTAGTCTGTCACCAACGCTACCTTCTGCTAGGAAACCGGCAGTGTGGGTACAGCCACACGCACTATTTTGTCCATTACCTACATTAAAAAAAAAAAAAAAAAAAAAAAACGTGTGTGGGGTCTATTTGCTTTATGGGGTGCTGTCATCGACAGCAGCGCCCTGGGAGCCCCGAACTCCATCCCCGTGTCAAACAGCTGCACCGGCATCCGAGACGGATGAATTGAGCCAGATCTGGGCTAAGGAAAGGGGCATCAGCAACAGCTACGTGCCGAGCTGGAGTGCTGGAGTGCTTGCAGCAATGCATGTCTGCTGGGGATTAGGCACAGAGCAGTGCAGTTTGAGCAAGGGGCACGCAAACCTGGACACACAGAAGCTAATCTCTGCCCAAAGCCCTGTATGTGAAGAGTTTAAAGCTTTTCCTGGCTAAATGCTGAAGCCCTGTTAATTGTGTGCCAGTCCTAATCTCCCTTACATTAATGCAGGCATATTTAGGTTCTCATCGTGAAAAAAAGGGTAAGGCATGTGCTGTTCAGAAGAATCTTTTCATTTATCATTAAGGCTCAGCTGAATCACTAAGTTAATCATTAGTCATTAATCACTAATCCTCATGCTGAGGATCTGAGGATTTTTTAGGTCACAGAAATTTATCCCAGAACACCTCCCCACACCCCTGTCTAAACTGCCCAACATTTTGATGGGCGGTCCCAGTCACAACGATTCAGACAAATGAAGGGAGCATTGCAGGTGAGATACTCAGCTAAAGTCAGCTGACTTTGTCTGGTTGGTCACCGGTAATCAGTATTAAATTGGATCCTTCTTTGGGTTAGAATTCATTAGAATTCATGCAGTGATAGAACAAACGACCAGCAGAACACTGAGTAAAACGGGAAGCATATTACAATTTAATGCAAACGTGCCTGGCTGCACTGGGAGTCTGAGTGGTTCAGAGCCTTACTCTAGACAGTTTATGCCATCTGCTGTTGTGCTTCCCTCCATAGCTATTCTCCAGGCTTGGGTGAGCTTGTGCCACCATCTATCAGCCTGTGTATCATGGAGTCATAGTTTAGGCTGGAGAGGACCTCTAGAGGTCATCTAGTGCAATCCTCTGCTCAGAGCAGGGACAGCTTCAGAGCTACATCACGTTGCCCAGGGTCTTGTTTGGCAATCTTTTGAAAATCTCCAGGAACGGGGATTTCACAGCCACAGCCTGCTCTGGTGCTTAACCACTTCATGAACGTTTTTTCCTTATGTTCAGTCAGAATTTCCCACGTTGAATCTTATGTCCATTGCCTCTCATCCCGTAGATGTACACCTCTGGGGACAGTCTCACTCTTGTCTTCTCTAGAGCCATGCTTTAGGGGGTGGAAAACAACAGCTAGATCCCTCCTTAAAATAAACACCATAACCCTGTGGCATCCTGTGGAGGTAGCAGCTCTTCACGGCCATTTGCAGTCTGGGGAAATAAGTTCTTTTTTAAACCAGACTGATTTGGGGATGGCAGTGAGGAAGACTTTTCTCTTCCCACAGGATCTTTGAAATGAACCTGACCTGGAGATGGATGCTCACATGAATAGCTCTGTGATTTGTGGAATAGAGAAGGGCCAGTGCCCAGAGGTCCATCAAACAGCTAGAGTTTATATATCCCCAAATCCTGAGGCAGACAGCTCCAGCAGAGAGCACCTTTCCTATATTTTTAGTTCAGTTTTCAACGAGACAGCATTTTCTGGTTTTTGTCCAAAGCCAGTTTGATCAAAGACTACATACGCAGGGAGGGAACGTGGACTTCAGATGTGATGAAAACACAGCAGCAGGGTTTGGGAGGGCTGTGTGCTGCTGGAGAAAGGCAGCCAAACTGCCTCGGTCCTTTCACCTGCTTCCATCAGTGGTGACTGTGTTAAGTTTACATTGGAACGTATTATAGTACCTGCCCAGGACTAGAACCTAGTCTGAAGAAAGCTTGTTAATGACTATCCCCCCCCTCATACTGGTGGTGTCCTCCTCACAATAGTGTCCTTCAGTAGTGCCTCATGTCCTTCACCAAATCGTGCCCCAGAAGCAGAAGCTAAACAAAACAAAAGAAGAAGTCCAAAGCAAACACAAAACCACCACAGAGGTGTGAAGGGCTTGTCTTACCTGCATGCATAACTCACTTTAAGTTCACTACTCAGGCTGTGTGTACAATGAAAATATACTCCAATATTACAAGGCCTTTAGCTCTCTTATCACTTTACCCCTTTGTAGGAAAAGGAAGAATTTAATGGGTAAAATAAAACCAGGAAAAAAAAAAACAAACAACAAACAAACATACAAGGAGCTGTGATAGCTAAACACAGAAGTGTAGTAATATCACAGTTAAAAGTGATTTATCTGTTTCTTCCAGACGGTTTGCAGAATGGAGATTCACACCCTACTTGTCACAGTTGACATATTTGGGCTTTTTCTTCTGCACCTATGACCGATGTAGGGTGACATCCCAATGTATTTCAGCATGACTGTTTAATGAAGGCTGTAGATCTGTTTTTCACAGCTCTTAACCTCCTACTCTCAGGTGTATTTCTGCTGTGCTATTTTTACTGTACTGCCTGTCTGCACAGGTACAAAGGTTCCTGTCTGTGCACCTATTCCTCTATAGGAAGGGACTTAAAACTGTTTGTACAAAGCACTTTTAATGGAATAATCATGCTCACGAAATGGTGTACAAATTGTGCACCATACAAATGGTGTGGTGTTCCCATGGTGCTGTTACAAAATATAGTAGCAATGAACTGTATCCTTCTCCTAGTAAAATATATAAAGCTGATGAGTGGATAAGGCCTCTGGGTTAGTAACTATTGAACTATTATAAAACTATACATGCAGACAAGTTCAAGAACAGATCTATTTCTTACTCAGACAACAGCATGGTTTTAATCTGGTGAGATTTGAGAGCACAGATGCGAAGAGAATGGGACAGAACTAAGTAGGGTTTGAGAGGAAGGATGTGGGGAAACAATTTGGGTTTCAGAGACAGAAAGGCTGAGACTGAAAAGGAAAAGCATGTGTGGAGGCAGTATTTGAGTAAAGGGAGAAGTGTAAGGTGTGATGTACAGCTGGATGCTTGTCTGTGGAACAAACAGATGAAGAGCTAGAAAGGCTGAGCAGGGCTTGAGTCTGGGCCTGAGGATCAGGTCCTGGGACTGAGCAGAAGACATTTGTACAAAGAGCCAGAGCAAAAGAAGGCAAAATCATAAAAAAACAACCAACAGTTGAGGCTGGAAGGGACCTGGAGTCTGGCTAGTCCCACACCCTGCTCAAAGCAGGGTTGCCTAGAGCAGGCTCTCAGGACTGTGTCCGGTGGGGTTCTCAATGTCTCCCAGGACTGCCCAGCCTCTCTGGCAACCTGTTCTGGTGTCTGACCACCATCATGATAAAAAAAAATCTCAAACGGAATTTTCTCTATTTGTTTGTGCCCACTGCCTCTTGCCCTTTTACTAGAAACCACTGAAAAGAGCCTGGCTCCATCCTCTTTGCACCGTGCCTTCAGGTGTTCATACATGCTGATAAGATCCCCCAGAGCCTTCACTTTTGCAGGCTGAACTGTCCCAGATCTCTCAGCCTCTCCTCAAATGACAGATGCTCCAGCCCCTTTATGAACTTCCTGGCACTGCGCTGGCTCACTGCAGTCTGTCCATGTCTTTCTTGCACTGGGGAGCCTGGAACTGGACCCAGCACTCCGACACTGAGAAAAGGGGGAGGATCACCTCCCTTGACCTGCTGGCAGTGCTCCTCCTAATGCGTGCAGGGTGCTATTGAGTGCAAAGGCACACTTCTGACTCGTGTTCAATGTGGTTTCCCATAGGACCCCCAGATCTGCACAGCTGCTCTCCACGCAGGTGGCCCCCAGCCTCTACTGGTACATGGGATTGTTCCTACCCAGAGGCAGAACTTGGGATTTCCCTTTGCTGAACTTCATGAAGTCACATTTTTGCCAAGAGAGTTTGGACCAGATGATCTTTGAGGTCCCTTCCAACCTGGTATTCTGTGATTGTGTGATAAACCCATGTTGGCCCATTTCTCCATCATGTGAGGTTCCTCTGAATGGCAGCACACTCATCTGGTCAATCACCTACTCCTCCTGGTTTTGTATTGTCTTCAAACTTGCTGAGGGTGTCTGGGGTTAGGCTGTGAGAGCACTTCTATGTTTTCTTATACTTAATGAATTGTGTACAGAATTTGGCGTGCCACTTCCATAGAGGCAAAGAAACGAATCTGACCTCTCTGAAATCTTGACTTCTGACATTGCAGTGATGTTACAGGGGTCACCAGCAGGTTTTGAACTCTCAGTTCAACTTCTGAAGCCTTTCTCTACTCCTCAGACGCTGGACACACATCTACCTTTAATGAAATAATCTCAGACAAGTAAGAGGTACCTTTGATAATGCTTACTGCTTCAGGTGATGCCTGCAGAAGTTTCTTTCTTTCTGAAAGCTAAATGTCTGCAAATCACAGCCACTCTGCTTGGTAATCTTGATACTGCCAAAAAATAAAATGTTTAGCTGAAGAAAGAGATGCACTGCTTTGCCACAGTCCTTGGCTGTGTCCCTGACTGCGTGGGTATCCTTCCAGCGACGGGTACAAAGTTCAGGGATTTGTCACAGCAACATCTAAATTCTGCAAGCAATGGAGTTGGTCCTCGTCCCAGAGTGGAAGAGAATTGGCTCTGCCTTTTCCAAAACAAGGGCTTGTCCCCTGGCCTGCTTGGTGCTTTGACATCTTGTCTCCATGGCAGTGATCAGCTGGCAGGACTGATAAAAAAGCCCCTATTCATTGACTCGGGTAATCCCGGCCAGCGCGGCCGCGCCGGGTGCTGCGGCAGGCAGAGCGGGTGCTGCGGCAGGCAGCGAAGAGGCAAAATGGCTCTTGCTGTCCTTTTGGCAGCTGTCCTGGGACTTCTTATTGTC